TTTTCATCCATTAGCAATGATTTCAATTAATTGGACAACAGGAGGGATGGATTTAGCCCTGCCTCCTTTGAAGGCAAACTAGAATCCTACCATTTCCCGTGTAAACTCAGCAATTGGCTGCTGCAGTACCCAGCAGGTCCATGCACAGCATACACACGTTGGTATACTGCCATCTAGTGGACCACATGCAAGTTGCACAAAGAGGAACCTGCCCGCAGAGAAAGGTTCATCCGGGAGTGGTTTCAACTGCTGAAGGGAACAAAACAGAGAAGAGAATGTGTTTCAACTATAAAACTAATTAGGAGCGAACAATATTGTAAACTACCAGGATTATACCTTAGGATCTATCAAAATCTTTACAGGGCCTTTGATGTGGACCTAGCCCTGCACTCAACTTTTAAAAAATCAAATCAAGAGTGCCTTATGTCAAAATCCCACACCAAGCCAAACATAGCTGTGACCCTCTGAAAAATCAGGAGAGTTAAGGGAGCCAGGGCAGCTGACATTCACTTTACAATCTTCTTTCTTTGTTTTCCTTAATGTTTTTCCTCTACCAAGTGTTGTGAGCGCTGTTAACAGCAGAGTGCACTGGACCTCTTCTCACCGTGAAGGTTGCCCAATGAAACACAGGCTGGAGAAAGCACAAGGTTAGCTAAGTATCAGGTTAACCCCAAGGCAGATGTAAGTGTTCCACACTCCACCCAGATGTACACAGTACTCAGTAATCACCATAGTTCAGTAGTGTCGGCAGGGACACTGCCTCTTTTGCTTCTGGTTTTAATCATAGTCTTCCTTTTTGCCCTTCACAGTCTAGCTATAGACAATCCACTGCATGGGTTTCGCGTTTTGACTGTTTTTTTTGTCCCTCGCTTAAGCACACTGTTATCAGTACTCCTGAGTCTTGATGTGCCATGGTCCTCTTTTCGGATTTTCTAATCCCCCCGTGACTTTTCTTTTCAGTCACTGGTCACTTAGCAGAATGTGTTAATTCCCACATCCATTAATTTCCCCACTACCCTTCTGCAGCCAACTTTCCATTAAACTCCACTATGGTCAGAGGAGAGCTCTCGGAAGCAGTTTAGCTCAAGCTGGATGCCTTCAGAGATTGTAGGCAATTCTGGTCAAGATGTTCATTTTAATCTAGAAAGCAGTAAAAACCGAGTGGTCTAAAGACGTGGCTGTTAATGCACAAGCATCGGCCTGAGCTAGGAGAAGGGACGTTTAGTCACCGTTTGATGTTTTCATAGTACCCTGGTTCCATGCTCTTTGCGTAAGGACTGTCCTTGTTCTCATCTTACTACATCAGCGACAAAGTAGCCTTGTCAAGTGTTGACAGTCTCCAAAATGGTATAGTGACAAATAAGAAAATGGCAGTCCAGCTATTAGGGCCAAGTCAGCTTCAGCTCCTCCATTATAAACAGAATCCCCATGGATATAAATATTCAGAAGTTATGAGGTGCATAATCCATTGTTTTACAAAACTGTCCTATAGGCAACTAGCATCCGTAGCTCTTACCCTGTCTGGGGTCACCACCTCATAAGAACCACTGGAGAGTCTCAATCTGACTCCTGAACCAGGTTAAAGTGGAGGTACACACTAAGAGTGAAACAGCCTTCACCTTCACAGAATCACCTAACCAGCTTGTACGTAAAAGAATTAACCTCGCTCCTTTAAAAATATTACAGCTGTCAGGATAAAAGGCTATTTGAACTATTTGTTATAGGAACAATGCTAAGAGCCACCAAGCATCAGACATCTTCCACATAAAGATCCACATGAGGAATATGGCCATATGTAGCTGCTGCTATCCTGGCCAACTTCCTCCTTAACAGATCCCTCATTAAAGGCACTGGTGTGCCTACTAAGTAACTGTTTTCCCAGACTGCCTTGAAACTGACTGACAGACACCATGTTATCAAGTAGAAGTGATTTCTGAGCCCTCTTTTCAATAGGACTGGAATGCCTATCGTCTTTCCAAACTTAAAAACAAATGTCATTTTCAGCTCTAACAGTGACCTTGTGGCTATAAGAAAAGTATGGGGACAATGCCCCTAGGAGGGAAGAAATTACATGTGTGATGCCATCCTCTAAAAAGCAGCGGGGAGATGTTTCCTCTTCCTTTCTTATTAAGGACAAAATAATGACTTTAAGGAGTGTTTCCCATTTCCCATAAGAGAATATTAAAATCTGGGCTTTACTCTGAAATGACCAGTTTGTCATACCATCAGTGTCTTCTTGGAAGTTCAGGATAAACTCTGGTTTCCCTCCCCTTTCGACACCCCAGAAAGCGGTCTGAAAACTGTGAAGAGAGCTGACAGTTTCCACCTGTCAATCTAGAACCTTCAAACCAGCTGTCACACCAGCCACTCTGCTTAATTAATGCCACCAAGCTTTGATACAGAGGGAGCCTCACTAATGTGAAGGTCTGAAAATCATTACACTATGCCACCAAAGTTGGCTCAGCTGTACTTGACCTGCCAAGTATATTTAACTAGGTTTCATATGTGGTTTTCTCCCTTTCAAATTTAATTTATATGTATTTAAAGGTCAGCTTTCATATACATTCTCCATTTCTCTTAAAAACCTGAACATCAGGGCAGCATGGTCCCACACCTATAAGTGATGACGACGAGAGGCTGGAATGCAAAGCTTCTTATCCACTTGGGTGGGACATGGACTTAACAGCTCTTACCTGATCAGCCTGAGCCATGAAAGTCTTTGTGGCCCCACCTGAACAGAACCTTGCACTAAGGGACAAGGATTCCAACTTTCTTGGCAATAGGAAACAACATCAAACAATGAAAAGGTTACTGAGCTGAGACTTTCTAGAAAATGTTTTCTGGGGCCAGAGCCTCGGCTCGGTGGGTAGAGGTGCTTACTGCTGAGTCTGAAGGTCTCAATTTGATCCACAAGACACACAGGATAGAAGGAGAGAACCAACTCCTGCAAGTTGTCTCTAATCTCTACAGGTGCACATGTAAACACCAAATAAATAGAGTAATTACTAGCATTTTTAAAGTTTTCTAGCTACAGCTTATTGGTTGTGCCACTGTGCTGGTTAAGCAGGCTGCTCAGCCAAGCAATGTTTGCCGTGTTGTATTAACCAATTAACCAGGAAGCCAACAGTTTATTCTCCACAGGTTTATTTCTCTCTTGCAGTCTGGCCCAACTGGACCAGGCAGAGGGACTCTGTTGTCCACATCTCCAGAGCCACCTGAGACCCCACCACCTTGAGTACTACTAGTGGCATAATAAGGGACAAAAGACTGGAGAAGCAGTCACACCCAATACTCACTTTCCTCCCAATTTCATTAGCCACAATGACATAACTGTAACTAATTAAATGGCTTGGGAAAGAACAAATGGAAAACTTGGTGAGTGTTGTGTCTCTACCACAGTAATCTCAAGTGGATTATTTTACTTTGCTTAACCTTGGTTGTGAATCTATACCATGGTACTTAATGGTCCTTTCTCCCTCTTGAGGTTATAGGGAAAATCAAGTGACAGAATTCACACAAGAACATCACTAAACACTTGTAGTGGCATGTTGCCTTGCCAGTGAACTTGTAGTAGTAGTCACATCCTTCAGGTGTGGTTTCAGGTGCAGACGTGACCCCTTTAAGGTAGGAGCTGTGAGCGTGCACTCTTAGGTTGTCGAGAGCATTGGAAAGGCAGAGACTACATCTTCGGGAGCAGGAAGGCCACGGCAGTTATTTACTCTTGTGTGTGTAAGTTGTTCCCCAATAAAGCACCTATTTATCAATTATGTTGGGTCTAGCGAACTCATTTAAACCCCGCCTTCAATTGGCGCCCATGTGGGTAGACTTCCACATCAGCCCACGAGGCTGGCTGGAATTCCAAAGCTAACCTCGTGCCAGCCTCACAGCATTCTGGGATCCAGAATGCCCAGTCTGTTAATTGCCTGCTGGGCAGTTTCTGCAACCCTGCTGGAACAGAGTGCACTCCCCTGCACTCTTCGCCCACTGGTGCTGAGGCTTTGCCCAAGAATGCGAGGTTAAAATGACTGCAGGACATACACTGTAACGGAATCCATGTGCCTTCACTTGTATGCACACACCTGTCCCTTTATTCACATGTGAGTCAAACAGCGGACACTGGGGACTAAAGGATATGGCAATGCTCTCATCCCTACTGCACCACCCACTCCATTCAGCAGGACTTGCACTGATGGGAAAGACACAAAGAAAACGCCACTTACCCACAACCTCTCCCAGGCCATTTTTCAACTGTGATGCAATGATTCAGTGCAGCAGCTTGTTAAGCATGCTGTGTAAGGAAGCCCAATAAGCTCACTGGTTCACCACACTCAACTCAGGGGGAATGACTCTTTAGTTTGCCATTGGGGCCTTCTAGGAAGGAGGTAGTCATCTGCTTCCATCTTCCCAAGGAAGAAATTCTCAAAACATCAGACAGGATGAAAATGAAGAGGGTGAGGATGTTCACACCCTTTCCTTTTTCCACTCTGTCCTGTATCCACTGGACATAACCTGGTCACATGGTCACATCAAGTCTCACTGAGGAAATTTAGGAATCAGTTGTCATGCTCCAGCCAGGAGGGAAGAAAACTAAAAGAGGGCCAAGAGGCAGATCCTTCCATTTGCATAGTCCAAAAATAAATCCATATTTGTTCAGAATTTCAGGCTGGAAAACAACCTGGCTACCCCAACGATCCAGTTAGCCCCCCAATCCTCAAGCTTGATCTTTCTGATCAAGTACAAACCTATCTTTAATAAGTACCAGCCTGCTTCGTCAGGTGGAATAATGGACGGAGCAAGGCCAGACAACCAACAAGCACTTAATGAACTCACCCAAAGGAAGAAGCAGCCTTTGGAGAAGTTTCTTCCCAAAACGGCTTTGCCCCACTTTAGAGAGTCTACAGATGGTCCTGTGGTGATGTCTCCTTACCACAGTCAAAGGTCATTTTCCTCAAAGGTGTCACAAATGCCATGATTAAACAGGACCACACACCTAATGCTTTGTAAACTGCAGTTTTATATAAATATAAAGTTATACACTGCCAAGCTACACTCTAATAAAGACCCTTATTCAATAAATAAGACATTTAAAAATGTCAAAAATGGACAAATGTATTCACAACATAATCTAAAGATTCCAACAAAATTTACAGTAGCTACAAAAGAATTCAGCTGCCTACAATAGTTTACATTTGGTTTAGTCTGAAGTATATTGCTTTTCTTAGGAAATATCCTTAATACAAATGTATGATTTATAATACCCCCATTATAACAAGAAAAAAATAGATCTTAGAATGTTTCATAGGCATTTATTATGCCAAGTATTTAAACAATTACTCCCATTATTACATAAGAATAATATTCTTATTAAAAGGTAATTATTTCATTAACCCAATGAGCACTAAGAGATTTTAGACAATTTCCAGAGTGACTTAAAAGAAACACAGCAGCAGCCCCTGGGTGACCCCACATAGCTGCAAATATCCACATATGTCAAATGGACCTGAAATAAATGACTTATTACCAAGTAAAAACAAAATTTTAGAAATCAGTTAACAACTGTCCTAATTTAGCTTTTACTTGCTTGTATAAGTCTTTACCATAAAGAACACATTAAAATTAATAACTGTTTCTAAGTCATAGATAAACTAACATGTTCACCCTTACATTGAATCAAAACTTACCTCTGAGAACAATGTACTCTGCAAACAGACAAAACAGACTGAAGGCCTCTTCCTACATTTTATGGATCAAAAAGATCCATCAGGTGGAGGACACACGAACTTGGGACATGTTGCTGTCACAGGACTATCTGCACACACATACACCACCAGCAAACTCTGACTGTCTCCAGGAACACCACACTTTCTAACCCCATTTGGTTTAAGATGCAACAAGGTCTCCTTCTTTTAAATTACGCTTTT